CTTTCCATGCATTCCATCTTTAGGTATACATAATGCACATATATAATTGGATATACAGGTAGTCCTTGATTAATGACCACAGTTGAGACTGGCAACTCCATCACTAAGTGAAATATCATATGATCATGAAGGACTTATGACTTCACTTCTGCTGAGTGATTAAGTGAATCACCCGCGGTCATTAAGCAAGACATCAACTGACCGTGACTTGCAATTTTATTACTGGCTTCTCTATTGTTGGAAACTGGCTATGAAGTGCACAAATGGCAATCAGGTGACCACAGGACACTGAAACAGTCATAAATACCCACTGGTTGTGAAGCACCCAAATGTTGATCACATGACTGCCAGGATGCTATGACAGTTGTAAATGCAAGGACCGGTTGTAAAGTTACTTTTTCAGCACCATCGTAACTTTGAACAGTCACTAAACAGGGCAGCCTTTAAGCAAGGTCTACCTGTATATGTGCAGAGCCAGTTTGGTGTAGTGATTAAAGGCATCAAGCTAGAAACCAGGAGATCATGAGTTCTAGTCCCGCCTTAGGCATGAAGCCACCTGGGTGATCTTGGACTAGTCATTCTCTCTTAGCCCTAGGAACTAGGCAATGGCAAACCACTTGTGAAATCTTGCCAAGAAAACTGCAGTCACCAGGAGTTTTATATAACAATAACTCAAAGGCACACAAAAAAATGTGCACAATCAAGGCCACTGGTTACCTGGAAGTTATAAATGTCTCATGCTTGTGTTTGCCAAGTTTAAAGCCTTTTGTGGTTTTGGTCCGACCAGGAGAAGAAGGCTCTGTGACAAATGACCTCTCCAGCTCTGCTTGCAGATCAAAGTCACTACATCCTTTTTCTGACAGTTCAATTAAGTCAACTTTTACCTGCAAGAATGAGAAAATATTCCATTTTAGTAACTTCACAAGTAATATGCTAATACTCAGTATTATTAGAATGGAAAATATTCTATACCACAAAATAGAAGAGGAAGAAGTAAACTAATTGAAGCATTTGCTTGATATAACATAGTTACTCAGCAAACTTCATAGTAGAGTGGCAATCTGAATCCAAATCTCCTGGTCACAGTCTACTCCTTTACAAACCAGACTATAGTAACATGCAGATCAGATGAAAATTATCTTCAGATAACAAGCTCTCCAGAATTATTAGTTGACAGTTTGCGGAATTTGTACTAGAGGCATTTTTTAAAATAAAAGCATTTCAAACTCAAAGCATTTCAAATTCAAAATACTTTGTAGAATGTACTATTCAGACCTGACACTGAATGGACAGATTTCCAGTGCTGATCAATGACCACAAGAATGACAACCATGTAGAAAGAACAGTTATCAACTGAGAGACATAGAAGTTCAAACCTAATTGAGTCGTGAATAATACCAAATCTCTATAGATAAATCCCTCTTTGTCAGCTTTATCTAATCAAAGGGATTTTTGTAAAATAAAACTGGGATCAGCTATTACTATCAGCTCTGTCCCCAAGCTGACAAAAAATGTAAAATATTAAGGCTAGGGTCAAAAGGAAAAGTCAACTCGTTACATGTACACTACTCAAAGAAGCTTTCTATGGTATCCAGTAAATTATTTTTCAAACCAAAAAGAATTTCCAAAAAGATGCTGAAATATATAATTCAAGATTTTAAAAATAGAAATTGAAAATAAAATTATATTGGATAAGCCCAAATGCTAGAGACCCTAAAATAGGAGTTTGAATTCAATATTGTGTTACTCACAGAGTTCAAAAAATACTATTGAGAAATATTACCCAGAGATATCAACTCCAAGAATTATTTATTAATCATTTACCATGTCAAGGTCAGTTTCAATTTCTTCAGCCTGGAATGGTGAAAACCACATAGACTTCAGCTGGTCATCCATGACATCTGCCAAGATGTACATAGTCCTGTAAGGTAAACATAGCTTTTATTATTGGTCAATATTTTTTGATCTTTGGAATAAGTTGACTATACTAAAATTCATCAACACCTTTTCATCTCTTCCCTCAAACCACATATTTACTAAAACTTTTCCTAAGACCATAGTTTCACCAAATTTCTACCTATTCTGCCCAAAATCATCTTTTTTTAAATAATTTTATTAAATTTTAAAAACAGAAAGATAAAAACTAACAAGAAGAATCAAGAAAAAAATAGAAGAATGAATAAAAAGAGAAAAAATGCCCAAAATCTTCTTGTAGCCCACATTGTTACATCTTTATGAAGTTCTGTTCTTAACTAAAAACAAAATGACAGCCCATTAGGAACACAAATTGTTGCCATTTTCTCATTCAGCAGCAACTATTAGCTATTTTATTATTTTAAAAATATACCACACCATTTTACTTGCCAAGAATTATGTCCACAATACATGGTATAATAGTCACAAAAATTGTAAATAAAAAGCAAACAGATTAAATAGAATGCTAGAAGCAAAAATACACTGGGTTGATATGTAATTATGGAACAAAACATTAACAGATAAAAGAAAAGGGTGGGCTCCATATTTTACAGAGATAGGAAATTAATTTGATAAACCATTTAACAACAAATAAATGTGTAAGATTAACAAGGAATCTCACTGGTAATATTTGAAGAATCTGAACTAAATTCAAATCATCAGGGCTTCATGGGTTTTAAAACCAAATGATTATAAAAGACTTCATTAGACTTTATCAAAACCATAAAAATCTCTGGGAAAATTGGAAATAGTATTAAGAATTATACAATAGTACCGGGGAATTTCTACTGTACTCCGCAGTGCCTTTGAAAATAAACTCATTCATTTAAATGTGATCCAAATATACCAATTTCATATATTATAGTTCTCTTGTCCACACAAATGTCTTTTTGTTATTTTACCTATTATTAAAAAGATGCTGGAGAGATTCTGGAGCAGGCAAAATTGGTTCCACGTCTTGATCACTTAGAGGACAAGCATCTCCAGCAGATTCCAGCATCTGCCTAAGTCCAGCAACATTATCTAATAACGATTCGAGGCTATCATCTTCCTTAGAACACTCCTGGGTAAAAAATTCTACAATCAGTCAATCATAGAAAATCTAGCATTCTGGGCAGCTAACACGATATACAGAGAGACCATTTCACCAGAAATTATCTCTATATTTATTTCAGATTCCCATTAGAGATTATCTATTAACAGCACAATGTAAGGAGCAGTTGTGTTAACATACTGCAGCAAAAAGTGGCTAACAGCTTTAACAATTGATTTATGTAGACTAGGAGCCATTTCATCTGATATACTGTACAAAATGCTGTCGGCAAGTTATGTAAGATCAAGAGGTTGTGTAGACAATAGGGCCAAATAACCATGAAATCTGAGAGATGTAGGCAGACAATTCTGTGAAAAGCTAAATGAATACAGGATGGCAACCATCATCAAGAAAATCAGGATAACTGTGTTATCCATTAACAATTGTGTAAATCTGCTTTTTGATCCCAGTGTTTGCCTTTTTTATTCTAAACACACACACACAGACACACACAGAGTTTACACAAACATATACACGCACCCTTCTTGTTACCCAAGGATAGCACTTCAGGCATTTGGCACAATAAACTCTAGTCCACAAAAGGTTACACATAAATTTCAAAGAGAGCCTATATGTGTCCTAGACAGTTACATCAACTAAAGTGCATCTTGGCAAAATGTCAGCTGATTAAGAGGAAGGCCAAGAATTGGAGACAATCTGAACATTCAATAAATGGATATGAAACATCAGTAAATATGTCCCCTGCCATATTGTGAATTGTTCTAAGTCTGTCCTTTTTTCAAGTACAATTCTCCAAATTGTTGCTAACCATTTGGACCATGTAAATTAAAATACAGTTTTTCCAATTAGCAGCAATTTCCATGCTTGGAACTACCAGGAAAACAATAATCAGTTCTTTGTATAGGAGACTGATGGTCAATTTTTAAAAGTTGCATTTGAAATTTTGTCCAGTTATATCATTTGTAACTGATTCTCCAGTTACGAACTTTCTAACTAAACCCAGATTACTTTTAGAAATTGATTGGTTTAGTAGAATCACAAAATCTAGAGTAAAAGTTTTGGAATATCATATTGATACTTTCTGATTTGCCACCATTGTCATCTTTATTGGTATAGCACAAATAAAATGTTGGCTGTGTTTCTTAGAACACTGAAAGTTTAAATTGTTTGTTCTCAATGTCAAAATAATTATGCTCAGCAGTAGACTATTCATCTTGGTGGAAACACCAAGGATTTTTGTAACGTGTAGCTCTAAATGAAATAACATTAGATGTTCCAAAATGATCAAGTACATTTATAGCCTCCTTCATGAGGTGAAATATGATGCAGAAGCACATCACCAACATGTCTAAAACAGCCTCTGCAGGTTTACTGCAAGGATTTTAGAGGACATATACATACATACTTAGATGTATTTATCTTGCCATATGATCCAGCTCCTTTTTTAACAGGTAAATAGCAAGCATTAGATTAATTCATGATAGCTATCTGTTTTTTCATAATTAAAAATAATCCCAAAGGAGGATAAAATTAAACTTTCATTTAAAACACCTAATTATAAAATATTAATTCAGAACTACAAATGTATAAACTCTTGAAAACTGAAAATACTCTAAAATGTGAGACAAGAATAGATATAGCAGCACCAATTTAAGCAAAAGCACATTATGTTTTAATCACTAGGATTATGTATGACTTCATTAGACTTGAGCAGACATTAGCAGATTTGATTAAAATCTAAAGCTTGTGTGTCGAAGGATGTTTTTGGTCATATAAATATTTGCATGCTCTCCAAAAAATGTGATAAAATTAATCTTATATTTCTCTCACTAGCTACAGTAGCTATTCAGTCCAAATAATCTACATACAATATCCAATATTACTACTGTATAGGTTTTAACTACTGAAAGTTACATTACCAAAACCAGTTTCTCCAGTTCAAGGAGCAGATTTTCAGGAGTCTCTTCTTTGGTCTGCAGCTGATATTTTAATTCTGCAGTACTAAGACCCAGTGTTCTAGTGGGATGACTTCCATCTACTTCCACAAGACTTCCATCATCCCCACAACATCCCTGAAGAACATGAAGAAGAAGCTAGGTGAAAAAGTACTGCAAAATGTATAAAAAGCCATGTTATATGCAATATAACATTGCCAATAGAGGATACATAAAGTAAACAGCATTCAACATAATTTCCAAGGTAAACAAAGGCTACATAAGAATCTCTACAACTCTGTAAAAACATAGCTTTGTGTACACTTGCTTTTTATCAAGAAGTATGCACTTGTTCTGTTCTTTAAGAGAAATCCCCCTTTGGATGCTAAATGGGCCAATATGAGATGTCCTTCCCTTTCAATATCCACATGAAAATAAGTTTATAGAATATACATTATAAAATCATTTTCAATACATTGCAACTTGTAGATCTATCATATGAAGTCCTTCCATAAAGCCATATTAATTGTTGACTCTGAAATCATAAAGTAATTGTTTCTAGAGCTTTTCACCTCTCTACATTCATTATAATTCCAGGTAGCATTTTCAACATGCTGGGAATAGTGGTTTGAATTACTTGATGGATACATCCCAGCAACTCTGGGCAGTTCATAAAGTAAGAAAAAATAACAATCAAACTATATAATAAAGACAAAGGAGCAAAAAGATGGCAAAACCAGGCGACAACAAAACATACGCACACTACTCAGAAGGGGCTTCAACCACCCTATCCAAAAGCCTGGATGTTTTCCCCTACTGAAAACCACCTGCTATTCCTATTGTTTCACATGTTTTATTATTTGTTGCTTTGATGGACCTTGAGTTTTTTTAAAACTGAGGAGATATGCCATAGCAACAGAAAGGAAGGTGTAAAACCTCTTCAATCAAATAAATAGCCTTAAAATCAATCCTAACAAACTAAATTGACACTGTGATTAGAAAGCATCTTAGCTATTTAGATAGCACAGTAGTCTACTCCAGAGGCATTTTGCTAAATTGCAGGCCAAGGCAGCAGCAACAAGGCAACATTGCTGAAAAATGTCAGCCTGCATTTACTTACCAGTGTATCAGAATTTAGTATCTGTCTCATGAAATCCAGAAAGGAAGAGGCAAGTTCTCCTGTGTCCTTACTGAAGCTGCTCACTATTCTCTTCAGCACACTTTGCAAAGCACCACAGTGTTTTCCCAGAGAACTAGGTTTGTTTCAAAAAGAAATATTTTAGCTACTCTATTTAACGTAGCACATAAGTGATCAAGAGACTAAAAAGCAGCTAGTTCATGTCTTCATAAATTATTGCTAAATATCGCTAAATGTGAAATAATTTAATTATACTTAGTATTCTTAGGTGTAGCAAACTCTCATAGATTGCTACAATATTTTTCGATTAGTCAGCCAACTAAAATGCCTAAACTAACAAGAAAAAGAAAAAATACTTTTAACTGAAATGCTTGCAGAACCGATAAACATAAGCTGTCACCTATGAGGCAATTCTTATACCTTCATATGCACAAGAGAAGATCTCTTCTAAAATAATTACCATAGCAACTGTTAGCCAAAACAGCATCTATCAATACTCTCTAAATGCCTGATAGCAATTTTTATTATTGAGGAATATCCCTATCTCCTTTCTCCTAACTGCACACCACCAGCACAGGGCCATCCCCACCAACTATTCTATGGGAAAGATCCCTAAAATTTGTTTTGCTTTTGAAAACACTGTATTTTTATTTATTATTTCTGCTTCTATAAGCAGTCCGGAATTGTATGATAGTTATAGAAAGGTATGGTAGATAGATATAATCACTGTAATAATTAAAATGTTATGCTAGGAACTGAGATGCAGAAACTGAACAAAGACCACATGATAAATTGATGCAGAATTTAAACAGGACAATTGATAAGCAACAATGGGAAATATATATTAAATTTATTGTGATGAATACTACATTCAGAGAAAACTATAAGATGTTCTTTTGTTGGCATATTACTCCAGTGTTGATTGCCGACATGGATACTACATATTCAAAAAATTGCTGGAAATGTAATAATCAGGATTGAACATATCTGGTGGCAATGTCACAAAACTCAGCAACTCTGGAAGATGATTGATCATAAGATGAAATTAATTTTAAATACTAATTTTGCTTTTCTTGTTTTTCAGTTAAGTATCATGAAGCCTTATATTCCTACAAAATATAACAAGTTGGCTTTATACATTATAACAGCTGCTAGGATATTCTGTATCTCACACTGCAAATTACATTCAATTTTTTCATCAGAGGAGTGGCAGATTAAGATTTAGGAGCTTACATCGATGTTAAAATTAAATTCATATCTAAAAATATAAGGCTGATATTAACTTTAATTTAACCTGGAAACCATTTATGAGCTATAATTCTACACATAACTTCTAACAGATCCAAAGTTCAGGTTTCTAAAACATTAGATTCTAATTGGTCATAAAGTTAAGGATGGACTGCTTCAGATTAGTTAGATTTTTATAATTCTTCTCATCTCAACTGATACATCTTATTGTTTTGGTTGTTTTTGTCAATCTTTCATTTGACTCTAAAACTAGTTCTTACAGTGCCAAACATATATTTCTATTCCAGTTAAATGTAAGAATAATGGTGGAACAATTTTTTTCTTTTAACTTTTTGTAAATTCGTGTATGTTTAATATTTTTGTAAATTCTTAAAAGTATTTCTATTTTTTTTCTTTTTCTCATTCTTTAATTTTATTTTTTTAATTGTTTATGTATTTATATAATCATTTATATGGCTGTCCAACTCAGCAAAGGCAACTCTAGGTGGTTAACATAACACTGAAACCAAATATAAACACCAACAAAAATAAAAACAAAGAAGCATGATATCATTGGGGCCAGCCTACAATCTTTCCACATCAACCAATACAAATGGGCTCATCCACCATCATGGCCCAATGCCTGGGAGAAGACACCAGGATGTGGAATGAGTACTTGATTCTCTTCATAAATCTGCAAATTGGCGCAGATGTGATGACATCATTGAACAAAGCATGTGCAATCAACTAAGATTTGTAGTCCTAATTATACCTCTGGGACAAAATTTATATACCATACTCTTCCAAGATCAATTTTTAGAATTTAAAAGTGAAGAGTTTTATTGGAATATTAGTTCTAAATATTTCTTGCAAGAAACAGAACATGAACAGCACTGAAAGGTATGAAGCTTGCTTTCGGAAGCTGATTTTCCAACTACTGATTCTCACTGTAACTTTTCCTTTGGTGCTGGACTGGTATGACTGTCTATTTTGTAATCTCCACCGAAAATCAATGGGAATTACACAAAACATACATGTACTTTTAGAAAGATTTGGAAGGGAGAAATCATACCTTTTCAGATGATAGAATCCATAATCATGCTCTGTAAGGAACATCATTGTCCTGATACAAGTCAGCAAGCAAGTATAGCTGCTTTCAGCATTAGTACCTGTTTCTATCAGGCAGTCACAGATGGGAGCCATGAGTTCCTTGCCTGGTAATGAATTGGAAAGCTGCTCCAACTCAGAAAGAGTGCCTTCTGAGGAACTGGGCAAGATCAGTGCAATGTCCTGTAAAAAGAAGCATTACTGAAAGGTAGGGGCATATTTTATAGCCATGGCAATGAGAGCAATAGCTGAGACTCAAAGAGCTATTTTAAAGTATGCCTTGGTCCAGGGGGAATGCCCAAAGGACCTTCTCTTCTTTGAACAACAGACCAACATGACATATTACAAAAGATTTCTGAGACTGCCCACAGTGGTAAGGTTGTTGCCATAGAAAGCAGATTTACAACTCACAATAATTAATTCACTAATAGGTAACTCTTTTAGGTTGGTGGGCACACTGGGGATTTTGAAAGCATGTTGTATATACTCTTACAAAATGCTAACACAGTGGAAGGTGCCAGTCCCAAAAAGCCAATTTAAAAGATGGCATATAACAAAGATTCCTCTTTTACGTCTACTCTATTGCTTATTTTCTGGGCAGGTAATATCATTGCGTTCATTTAGGATGTGAATTATTACAGAAATCTTAGAGTAGCCAACTTTTGTGTCATTGCTTTAAAAACATGACAACAGATTATTCAACATAATGCCTTGGATGGGATAGGCTCCTGTTAGAGATTATTAGCTTTTTATAAATTTGTAAAATTTGTGTTTGATCATAAATAGTTTGCTTTTCTCAGCAGAAAAAAATATGAACATACTTTCAAATAAAGCACTGGATTCAACTACCCACCATTTTTATTTTCAAAGAATCCCTATGGAATCTACAGTATTTGGGACTTGAAACATCTGGAAGTCCAGTACGCATCAACAGAAGTATCTGTAAGCACAATAACCCCTAGGAATCAGTTGCTTATTGCTGCATTATTTCAAATGCAAAGCGTTCTAAACAGGAAGGTCTTTTGAATCTTGACCAGTGAACTTAAGAATTACTATACTGTTCAATATTAGGGGCTTTTTCTAAGGGAATGCACATTTAGAATGATTGTTTTTTGCACAGAAGCAAAATCCACTCAACTGAAATTTAATTCAGTAAGCCCAGCAACAACTAAGCCATTTCATCACTAGAATGTACAAAATAATAAAGGACAAGAAAATTCAAAATTCTAATTGCTGAAAAACTTCAAACAGAGAAAAATTAAAACACAATTATTAATATCCATGAATGTAGCATATTAAGAATGAGGAAATCTTAGACACATAACAAAATTAACCCAATTATTACAAGGGCCAGCAGGAAATTGCAAATCCTTATAATTCACTCTACTAATCTGTCCACATGCTAACTTACTTGGAAGAAAATAATATTGATAAATGTCAGCATTTAGATTTTGGGAGGTTTCCAAGAGGGGAAAAAAATCACAAACACACAACCCCATAATGTAAACACGCATGGGTTAGTTGCACTGCCACAGACAAGATCCTGAATCTGTTCCAATAAATGGCACAACTATTCCCAAGAAAAAGAATGTCTTTACAGGTAGTCTTCACTTAATGACCACAATTGGGACTGGCAACTCCATTTTGCAACACTAAGCGAGACATCATGTAACTGTGACAGGCTCACAACCTCACTTCCACTGCAGTCTTTAAGTGAATCACCTTCAGTCGTTAAGCATGACATCACGTGACTGCCACTTACAATTTTACTGCCAACTTCTCCATTGACTCTCCTAGTTGGAAGCCAGCTGTGAAGCGCACAAATGGCAATCACCTGACCAAAGGATACTGCAACAGTTGTAAACACCCGGTGGTTGTAAAGTGCCCAAATCTCGATCACATGACCATGGGGATGCTGCGACAGTCATAATGTGAGGACCAGTCATAAAATTACTATTTCAGCAGTGTCGTAATTTCGAACAGTCGCTAAACGGCAGTTGTCAAGCAAGGACTACCTGTATGCCATTCCCTCACAACCTACCAATGCATAACAGTACATTCATGTATTTAAGTGTGTGTAAATGTAACTATGGCTACATATAAAGAATAAAGAAAATAAAATTAAAGTTTTCTTTAGATTTTCTATTTTAAATACCTGGTCACAGAGGGACTGTAAAATAGAAGCTAAGTATTCCGCACACTGCTGGTGAATTATGTTTTCCCCTGCAGTTTGCATCAAAGACAAAAGCTCTAGGAAAACTTCAGTATATTTTTCATCGCCTTTAGCAGTTCCATTGATCAGGTGCAAAATAGCCAATTTACAAGCTTTGTGAGAAGCCAGAGCATCAAATAAAGCAAGTAAGCGGGTGGTCTGACCAGTGTATTGCTTCTCTTTATCTTCTGTGTTGCTGAAATGATGAGAAATTTCTTTATTAGGATGACAGCACACTTAAGTAGAAATGTAAATCAAAACAAACATGCGAGTTTGAAAATTTTCATTTACCCATCTGTATATAAACAATGTTCATTCTTGCACAACTGTCAAACTGCCACCTAGCTGAAAAGTTACAGGCATGAGGGATTACTAGCTACAAAGGGAATAATACTATTAGTAGTATTTAAGTGACTTTAACTAAAAAAAAAATTCCGGAAATTGGATCAAATTTTGAAAGTTTTTTTTCCTGTTTCCCCCACTTCTTTTTCCTAATCTTACTAACTTGTTATTGTTCTGGGACCATAAAGAAATGAAATGAAATGAAATGAAATGAAATGCTTACTTTTTGGTGTGTAGTTCCCTAGCACCCGGTACACTATTCAAGGATCAAACCTGACCCTTGCCCCCCACCCCGCAATACACACTGTTGCTACAGGACACATTCAGTAGCTGGATAGATGATCACATATCTGAAGAAACAGAAGGCCTAGGTCCAAAGCAGTTGACTAAGTGTTGAATAAGACAGTAAAGGAGGAGATAGCCCATTTCCCAAAATACAGGACCTCTTAAGTCTACATTCAACTGTACAGGCAAAATTGTGACCAATGAGATCTACTTCTACTTCTTAATCTTTAGACAAAATACTGCTATGTACCTTTGCAGATCTTCTACAAGTAGATCTAAGACAGTTCTCATAATAAGGAGAGCTGTTGGTGAGGCCAAGTCACACAACTGTACACAAATGCGTCTTAGCATATGCTGAATAGGCTGACAAGTGGAGCCAGAAAAGGATCGTACTATTTCTTGCAGTAATTTTGCTTGGACATGAAGATGCATGCTCCAAAGTTTTCTAGTATTGAGAGCTACTGATATGTCGTGTGGTTCAATAACCTATGGGAAACAAAATAATCTTTTGAAATGCACAATAAACATACATTTACAGCATGCTCTGCCACTCTCCACTCCGGAATCTTCTAGAAAATGTACACATAGTGACGGTCTATTTTCCCCAGCAAAGAAAAGATAGGAAAGTTACCCAGCATTCAATAGGCAGCATTCAATAGGATGTTCACTCAGATTGTTATTAGCAACAGTACCTAGACACCAGGACCAATACTTTGACATAAATACCAAACTAGCTCAGTCATCAGGTACTGAGCTTGACTTGAAGGATATTTTACCTTTTATCCTCATCCTGTAATAACTTCTGCTCATTTTTACAACTGTATTGTTTAAAAATAAAATCAAGGGGAAAAAATTAAATAAAATGGAAAAATCATTTGAAATTCTGACCAAAAGAAAGTTTAGAAAAATTGGCTTGCCTGCTTTAGATTTAGCCAACACTTTGTAAATAATGGTTTGAATCTCCAGTTCAAGAAAAGTACATTTCTGAGTCACCAGAAGAACCTAAACCAGCTGAATTCCTAAATTCTATGGACATAAAAAGCAGGAAGTTAAGCTGAATTTGAATCAATTTACTTTTACCATTAGCTAGCTTCAGCCTCTATTTTACATTTCAATGATCTTTGACTGAAAACCATGTACAAGGAGCTCCCAGCAAAATTGCCAAGGAGAATATGTCAATTCAGCTGAATTCATATTCAAAATTCTTCCTACAAAACAGCCCTGTAGGTACACATAAATGGCAAAAAGTTTATACAACCAGGCACTCCATACTGATGCCTGTGGTACTTGGTCCTATATTCTTCTTGGTTCTCCAGACTAATTTATTTAGTGATTCTAGCCAGTAATAAAATGAATTTCCATGTATATAAAATGTCAGTATATTAATGTGTCAAACTCACAAGTATGTTTCATAGCTCCTCAACCTTCAGATCAGCTAATTTTTAAAATCAATTGATAGTTTTTAGTTACCTGAGTGGTCTGCATAGGCAGTGGAAGAGGCAGTAATTCTGAAAGCAATATAAGGCCAGAGAAAAATCCTTCTGGGATTCTTAGAACAGAAGTAAGAACCTCTTTTAGCATAAGTGACCAAGTATTATTGGCTAGAGTTTCTTCTGAGATAGTTAACTTCTCGTTAACACCCTGGGTGAAAGTCAACAAGATATCAACAATATCATTCTGGATTTTCTGTTCATCACTGTCTAAACGTCCAGAGAGTGTTATAGAACACAAAAGCATGTGTAAAGAAATAAGTGCTGAAGGTACGCGCATATCTTTAAATTCAAAGGATCCTCCACGTAGCAATTCAGTTAACATGGTCTTCAAAAGTGTGAGGGTACATCGGGCCATGGAGATTGTAGTGACTCTATGAAGAGTTGTTCCCATGTTGACATGGAGCCTCCAGGGCTGAATAAGAATGCTGTTTAGTTTTTGCAGAACTCGAATAAAAGTGTCCATTCCTTCAGAAGAGAAGAGCTGAATAACTGCAAGGTTCCATTTAAGGTCCTTCTGCTGACCTTTATGAATGATGGGAAAAATAAAAAGAAGTATATTTTATTTTTTACTTTATTATTAAGTAATATAGACTGGAATGCAATAACTTCTGCTAGTACCAAACATAAATATTCCTACTTTTTTTTTTTCACTCAGCAGAATGAACTGAGAGTTACTCCAGGATTTACATGATTGGTATCCAAGATTGTATTTTAAAATCTTTGTGACAGTGTAATTGAATACAATACATTCTAATGAATGAGAACTAAGAAGTTAAATATTGTACCTTCAACAGGAGGTGGAGGACATGCAATATGACACAAGACACGAAGTGCAGTAGGAAGACCAACTCCTTCCTGAGTCATCAAGCTATCAATGTTCTTTAAAATAAAGAAATAGACTAATGATTAAAAAATAAATATTCAAAAGGGACATACTTGATTTAATAGACAAACACTGCTTGTGTGCAAACAATGGACAGATCAATTTAAGTTTTGCATGTAACCAAGACTGTTGCACAAAAGCCACAATTCCCCATGTTGACTAGTACTGTAGATTTTAGGACTTGAAGTTCACATATATAAAAGGCTAGAATGAGGAAAGCCTGACTTATGTAATTCACCAGCAACTGTTCAGCAGTCTAGCAATGGATTTGGTTCAACATTTGGTCCTTCCTTATTGTGCAATATATCCAGGTTTGTTTTAAAAAGAGAACAATTTGTATGTGCTCTGTAAAGTCGCTATTCAAATATTTTAAATATTTGGATACCAAACTAAATGTTAGCATGGATTGTTTCATGAATATTTAAGTAAAACAGTAAACAGGAAAAGGGGGTAGGGTATGAGGACCAATCTAGAGATTTAAGTAACCCAAAGTAAACAGCAATCATAGGATTGCCAATCCAATTTTTTCCCTCCCCCAAACATTTTAATTGACCAGCACGTCTGTTTGGAATATAATTTGAAATAAAATTAACTTCAGAACACATTTGTTCAAAAAGATGGGTATTTTGCTATTCTAATAGGTCATATGTAAAGGAAATCATCTAAAAACTACAACATTTGTTTATAATACAGCATTCCAAAATATGTGCTTTATTATTTAAACCTGATTGAACAGCGCTATATATGTGTACTGCAAAAGGAACAAGGGCTGAAAAAAACACTCTCCCCCATATATATATAAATGCAAGTGTTTGCCTATTTATTTTACTGACCTGTTTAATATATTCAATGAGATTTGGAATACAATTAATTTCAAAACGGAGTGTTTTCAATGGCTCCAGCCATTTGCCAAGTTCTAAAAAAACAAACAAGATCATATGATGAACGTTATATGATACATTCAAAAAATTGTGAAAAGCATTACAGTGGTAGGCCTTTCAGTACTAAAACTGATTGAATCTTAATAATGGGGGCACACTGTGTCACACACACATGCTAAGAACACAGTACTCATTCTTAAACAAAAGTCTAAGAAATTTTTATAAAATTTTACTAATTCAGTTTAGTTTGAATATTTCCCACTATTCATTCTTACAATTCTGTATTGATGATGATGATGATGATGATGATGATGATGATGATGATGATGATGATGATGCCAAACCCAGTCTAAATATCTGGCTGACTTTGCAACCAATCATAATAATAAAGAAACAACCAAGCACCAAGGATTCCACAGTTCAACCCTGAGCTACATATATTCTCTTCTATTGGAACAAAGTAAAGCATCAAGTACACTATTAAAGAACTATTTTGGTATGTTTATCCTAAGATAAGACTCTGATAAACTGGTTAATCTGCTGGTCAGGAGAAAGCCATGTTACTACAAGATTGGTGAAATAGAATTTCTTGTGGTGTTTGGTTCCTGATCTGTCTACATCAAAAGGCTGACAAACATACACCCTTTGCGCTTTCTCCCAAGGACCAACTTCTTATCCATGCACTGAGCCCTTGAGCTCTGCTTGCATGTGAACCAGATACCATTTCTGAGAACACTACTTTGGAAGCTGTGGACTTCACTCTGCTACATTGCATCCCAAATTCGGCTTCCAAGGCTGGATGGCTATATTGCCCAATATCATAGATGCCAACATGGAATACAAGCACTGTTTCTTTCTGAGCATTATTTATAACTTATCTAGACTGCAAATAACACCCATCACCTTCACACCAGGCAGATCTATTTTCTTATCACAAACCCTAAAAATTGAATGACCCACAACAAAAGCCCTCTGTTTCCTAGAGGAGTATTTTCAGCACTAGAGCATATGGGTTCATCACCTGAAGACTGAGTCCCAAATATGGGAATACCTCCTTTATCTTTGAAATCATGTCCTCCTTCCCCAAGACTCTCATTCTCCCTGACGACAAGGTGCTGTCATTCTGGGGTACACATCCCAGAAGAACTCGTCTGTATACTTCTATGGTTCTCTAATCATCTCCAGCTCAGCCACTTTACGTTCAAAAGATTGGACCTGTTCCCTGACAGACAGGATTGTGGGCAGACACTCACAGTTTATTCCTAACAGATGTCTCCCCTAGTGTTTTATTCAATATCTGTTTTTTAAAAACAAAAACAAAACTTGATTCATTATTTTGCTCTAAAACTTTATGTAACAGAAATAATATTGTTTTTTCTATCTAGCTGGACTTCACAGCAGAAGGAAAAACTATTCTTTACAACTGTTTGAGCCGCCTTATTCACAGTGTGCATCTTGCCATCAATGAAGAAGTATAACGCACACAAATCATTTCAACCACCAACCTAGATGTTTCATGAAAGGCCCTAAGCAACAATGGACATTGGGCAGCACTGAAAAACAAGCTAAAACTCATTTACACAAATAAAATTAAGAACAAACTTTAAATAAATAATGTTCTTAAAGGAGACAAGATTCCTGGAAGTATACTTCATGTATGAAAGAAATCAAATGTATCTGTCAGGATTGTTGTTTCCATTAAGCAGCAGACCTCCAACCATATTGCATACTGCTTTTGATACCCCCTTTGATATTAAAATCAATTTATAATCTTGGGAAGTGGCAGGTGATACTATTCAAGGAACAGAAATCCCAACACTGTTTGGGAATGTAGAATGTAGGATCAGCCCACTGCATTTTAAAGCTGTACAGGAGTAAGTGATGCATTAATGGAAACAATAATTGATTTAAAATATCAAAATGGTTCACCATTATAGAATATGAGTCTATTTCTTTCAATTATTTTATGATCTCTGTCAATGAGTAATATATTATATAAACCAGGGTTTTTTTCTGTTTCAAAACCAATTTTGAAAGAAAACTAAAGACCTTTCAATGATCCAACCTAGTAATTTTAATATATACAGTAGCAATAGTGAAACAGAATATCAGTAATATTTCTCCTATATCATTTAAAATATTTTCCAATAACAACAAATAGCGTACCTTGCAATTTGGTGTTATTTTCATCAGCCTTGCAAAGCTTCAGGAGGGGTGCTGAGTACAGCTCAAGCATCTGGACATCACTGGAAGACTGTACCACCAGTAGAACAAGGATGCAGGCATAATTGTAGGCAACTGACTTCTTTGATTTGGAGTCACTGAAACATTAAGTTTAAAAAAAAAACTGCAAGCAGTTTCATCCATCCATCCATCCTTACTAATCTACTTTAGGAACATTTCATATTTTAATTTTCATACTAAGCACAAAATCCAGAGATTAAGTTTTCATCAGTTGCTTCCCACCCTCCAGAGATTTAGAGGACACATAGAAATTACAGGAGAAGAAAAGCCAACTGTGCAAGAGGATTCCCACCTGCCCAACATTGGATTCCATCTTCTATTAAACATAGGAGAGCAAAATAGTATTATTAAAATTGAAAGAGATATTATCAAGCCATCCTATTCTTTCATAACCCTTCCACTTTTAAAGCGTGCTACAGTCCTCGGAATTTAAAGAGAAAAGTAGTTAGAAGCAAGTGATGATATTTAGAATTAATAAAGAAAAGCACTGTTCTAAACTCATTTGACAGTTTCTATCAATCCTGTTATGGCAGCCTACAGAGATCTCTCTTAATGTATAAAACTTAATGATAATGCTAGTCACACTCCCTCAGCCCAACCTACCTCACAAGGTTGCAGTTGTGGAGCAAACAGGAAGAAGCAGTAATACGTACACTACATATTGAGTTGCACAAAATAAAAGAAGGATATAAATCTAATAATAATAGTTACCCTAATGCTTCTTTGGAATAGAACTCCATTAAAGTAATAAGGCTCTGGAGATTCTTCTCAAGGCTGAAGACATGGGCAACAGCAGCTCTTCCTACAGGGTTAAAAGTGATCAAGTAAAGATTATGAAGTGTTCCCAGGAGATCTGAATGGTCAGTTTCATCAGTGGCTGTGCAGCGTTGGAAATGGCAGAATAGTTCTGAAATGCACTGCAGTGTCTGGGTTGAATGAAGAAGCCATAAGGGAAATGCTTCATCGCCTGCCCCATCTGTTTGTAGACCTTCTTCTTGATCAGGATCAGAAAATTGGCAAAAAGCTCGAACCAGCAAATTTGTGGCTTCATACTCAGAGAGGAAAAAAAGGAGACCTTTCTGTGACTGTGCTAAAAACCTCAGAATATCTCTGGCAGATTGAAGTACCCCAGGATGCACATTTGTTACTGGATTTGACAACAGCAAAGTGACAGACTCCAAAAAATTATGATTATGAAGATACCTGGAGAAATGAAAAGAGAAGGATAAATCATTCTATTTGGAAATAACATCTATCCACTCAATTTTTCCCAATGGCTAGTTTACCTGCAATATCATGGGAAGGTTACAATTCTACATTTGTATTATAAGGCACCATTGTGGTTTGGAATAGAAGGCAAATCCCACAAATACAAGGTGGGATTAATTAATATCACAAATATTAAAAGCAAAACTGATATCCATCTAAGCCTGAGATTTACATTTCAATAGATCTGTACCAGTTTGTATATTTTCCCATTAAAAAAGCAAAGTAAAAATTATTTAAACTTTTGATTGCTATATCTTCCTCCAATTCAAGTTACCAAAACTATTTGTTAAAAGCTACTTATTAACGATTTTGCAAATCAGATAACCTCAAATGTCCCTGCAAACTTAGAGAAATTAATAAAGCAGTGGCTAATTATTACTATTTTGTCAACATAAGCAGAAAGCACCATCATGGTAACAAGGAGATTACTACAACTTTCAAGGATTACAAATTGGAAAGACTGAAGGATTTTCAGGGAGTAGATTATGCACGATTTAGAGGGCAGAATCTTCTCATAAATATCTTACTCTTCTGAAGAACTCAGAATAGCACACTAGTTAACCAGTATTATTATTACAAATGTCCTACAAAGTGTGCTAGTTTGAGAACTCGTGACTCACCCATAGCTACTTACTAGTCTTCAGTTCTAAGTAAACATTTGAGTAACTCAGATCTTATCATGTTTATATTATTAATTTAACTGGGGAAAGTGAGCTGACTTGGAAAGGAGTTATGACATGACAGAGAAATAGAAATGAGAGTAAAAAATATATTAAAATATTTCCTCTGTTAAATAAACAATCCTTATTAAGCAATGGACATGCATTATAAGCACACATTAAAAATTGGGAAAAGAAAACTGGTAATCTTCTGGAACATATAAAGCAGACTTTCCCAAACTGGGTCAGGCTTCAACTCCAATTTATTTGTTTGTTTGTTTGTTTGCCCAAGTATGGCTTTTGAATATGCTGTGCAGGAATAATGGAAGTTTGATGAACATATCTGGAAGGTACCAAGTAGACAAGGCCAGAATAAGCATAATTAAAGCCACCTACCAAAATCAAAATACATGCATACATACATACCTGAACAGGACTGGAAAAGGATCATCCCTTTCTGGGGGCCCTGTAATACGTGCTGTTGTTGGAAAAGATTTCACAGGTGGCTGGACCGTGGTGTGTGGGGCTGTCTCCATCAAATGCAAAATTTCATCTAAAAGGTTAATGAGTTTTTCAATTTCTCCTTCATTCATAGTGGAGGACTCCAAAAGATTGTCCATATCCATTGGAGCATCTACATCATTTTCATATTCCTGGTTGCCTCTTTCAGGTCCAGCATCTGGATCTTGCTCAGACTCAGAATGATTTGGAAGAGGTGGAGAATTTTCTGCTAGCTGGTCAGCAATTTTTTTTACCTCAGACAGAATCTCATAGAAGTGACATTTCTGTAAAATGGCAGAACCTGCAGTGACTACCCTTACAGTCTGATCCAGGAGAATAAGCTCCAACAGTCTCTGATAGCCACTTTTTTCATTGGCCTCCAAACCATTTCTCAAAAAAATCTCCATTCCTTCAGTCATGCTAACAACACTATCCAAAGCTTTGAAAGCATTGAGTTTAAGGGAAGAGGACACGTGATCCGCAAAGAGCAACTCAAATAAAGAATCAATTACTCCCGCTTGCAAGAGTGCTTCTATTCCTCGAGTTCCACATTCTGCCAGTGAGGAGACAAGTTTTGTCCCAGCTTTCAGCTGACGGACATTCAAAGCAATCGGTTGTCTCAAGGCTACTTGCAGATTTAAAGACTGCATTGTCCAGTCAACCAACTGGCTTATGTAATCTTGACTTGCATCCTTTAACTGCAAATAACTCAGCCCTTTGACTATTAAACTGGGTATCTCTTCCAAAGCCGTGACCCACTTTGCACCTCTCTCCTCCTGATATAACTCAAGGAGTTCAGTCAATTTAACAGAACTCTCAACTGCCCCACAGTTTTCCTTGTCTAGATCTTGATCTCTCATCTTAGCAACTTCCATCTCAAAAGTGGTCTTGTAGGGGCAACTGAAATACAGAAGGGGCCCAAGCTCCCTATCAAAAGGATCATAGGTTACAGGTGGCACTCTGGCTAAATCTTCAGCAGTATATTCAATGTCAAAGCTTGGGTACTTAAATGTCTCACGCTCCAAATCAGCAATTCCATCTTCATCACTTGAAATCTGCTCATAACCATCATCTCCTGAAATGAATGTTTAAAATAACCTTGTTAAAAACATACACGATCTATAAGGCTCATTGTTTTAACTGTCGATTAGATAAAATAACATATTGTCTCCCAATCTTCCTGGGTCCTTATATACATAGATAGACCAAGCAATAAATAATCTGTTATCAACCAAAGCACATATTAAGAACAGAAGGCTATAAAATGCTATTTAATGATATTTTCCCCACAATTAAGATTCTTGGGTTTTTCATTCCAAAAATTTCTATAAGTTTCAATTACATGGACAGCTAAAAAGGTGCAAGCACCACAGAAAAACTACTACCAAGTAAACAAGGCCAAGATCAGGCTTCAAGAGTTCAAAGGGAAAACAAAGAGAAGTATTTTGGCTAGCAATGGTTTCTCATACTTATAAAAGCTGACACAACTAACTCAAAATAGAATACAGATGTTCAAATACATATTAATATGCAGAGACAAATTCCAAGAGCCTTTGCAAAAGAATTATTTGAATTTACTGGCCTACAATCCCAACAGCCCTCACCAAGATTGCAAACAATCTTTATTGCAGTCATACTGAAGGGTTACTAAGGCATACTGAACAGCCCCATTGCTTCCTGGCCCTTGTTCAGATGGGGTGCTTGTGTTTAGAGCTATTTGACTCCTGTTGTATTTTTAACAGAACAGGGGAAGAAAATTTAACACATAAGAAAATAATTATTAAAAAATGCAGAAATACTGCTATTGTGAGAACAGCGTATCTCATTATTAATGTCAGAACAAGTGCTAACTAGCCCTTATAGAATGACATTAACTAAAGCACTTACTACTGGGTGGAGTACAGGAAGGATATCAGTACAGCAAATAAATATTGCAATTTAAACTTTGCAAAAATTAGATATGCTTTCAAGGGAAGCAATACTTTGGGGCTCATCAGTAACTCACATAAATGACTGAACTATCGCACAATATTATTGGCTGGAAAAATTATATATCCAATTACTCCCTTTTCATCTACAAATATTTGCAGCCCCTCCTGTAAAAATTAATTTCTGGAAAAGAATGAAAAAATATATTAACGGTTAAATCTTCCTCTTTAAATTTTTTTTGTTGCCAAAATTGCTTCCTAAATTCCATATTCTCAGGTTGCATGTAAATCAATGATTCACTGTTAACATCAAGTGAGGATTCAACTGTATGCATTGGCCATCATAAGCTAATCAAAACAGAATTTTCACACGCTCCCAACATTGCCTCAAGTACAGTGTTCTTCCAACAGGGTCAGGCCAGATATTTATCTGAGTGTCAATTCTTATCAAGCAAGATCAGCATAACATATGCATGCATGAATCAACCCCTAGTAGCTTTCTATTTGCCTACCTTCACCTTCTTCCTCTTCATCACCTTCTTCTTCTTCTTCCTCATCATCATCATCATCCTCATCTTCATCATCATCTTCATCTTCTTCATCATCCTGAATGCTGTCTACTGTTTGACCATCATCATCCTCTTCCTCATCCTCTTCCTCCTCAACATCCACACCTTCTTCATCATCCTCCATTTCTTCTGGCTGCTCTTCTTCCACTTCTGCCTCATCAGAATATGGACCTTCTTGATGAATGGAAGTCCGATCAGGAGAAATGGGCTCGAAATAATCCTCTCTGTGATCAACATCATCATCTTTTTCTCCAGCAACTGAAAAGAATGTCATTAATAGCAAGAGAACATACCGAATGCTTGAGGTTTCACTACTGAAAAGTCACCTATAATGAAAGTTTATTTATTTATTCAATTTATATAGCTGCCCATCTCAGACCTGTGACTCTGAAAAATTAATTTATAAAAATTAACTCTGAAAGTTAATTAATAAAGATATCTGATTTAAAGTTATACTGAAATAAAACTATTGACCAATCAGCTACTGCACTACCAGATTTAATTTTCCATAATGCAGATGTGGGGATGTGGAGAAGAATTTATTTTTTTATTTTAAAAATGAATGTCAATTTTTTATTAAACATTGAACCATGTAAACTATAAAGTACTGTATGTGAGAAGGAAAAGTCTTAACCCAATGCAATATATAAAACACTCTGTCAAGAAAACAAATATATTGTTTGTGCATTGTATATTTGGTGCTGTAATTTAGACATCAAAACCTATTAGCGAAGTTATTTTAGAAAGATCCAAAGCTTTTCCCCTCAGAGTTTACATAAATGGGAACAGAATCTCCTTCTGGCTACCTGATACAGGCATTGGCTCATCATCATCATCATCAGGAGGAGGGGGGCCTGGAGGAGTCCTTGGTCCTCTAGGTTGAGGCCGTGGAGGGCTGCCATTGAACTGCTCCTCCTTCTCTCCATCAGCTATAAAAGATGTTTGAGTCAAAGAAAAATCACATTGCATAATAAACAAAAGCCCAAACTGTTTTTGCAATTCCCTTCAGTTTTCAAAGTGGTAGAAACAGTGGGATGGGAGAAATGAAATAACAATTGATAAGTAAACAAAAACCTGCCCCTGGTTAACCCAACTTTAAAGGCTTTAAAATCAGGAAGAAAATTATTCAACAAAATTCTGATACATGTCCTGCATTCATGGACTTACAGAATGAATTCTACTGAAAGTAGCACTGAAGAACACAAATGTTTAGCAATATATGCTTGACTGCTATGAAAGTTTTGCTTTTCTGACGTGAACCTTTTTGAAGAGAATTTAAAACTAGAATAGCATTGCTCACCTAATTTTGGAGTTCTTTTCAAAGCTGGTTGTTGCTGAGGAGGTGGAGGAGGAGGTGGTGGTGGAGGAGGAGAGTCTCTATCGTGGCTTACTACTCTATCAACCGAGCCATATATTGCCAGTGTCAAGCAATTATACCAGCCTCTTAAAACTAAGCCATCAGTGTTTATCTGTTTTATTTAAAATAAAACACAGAATGTAAAACGTGACTTATTACATTTGGATTTTTAATTTAGTAACAATATCAACATGCAACAAAAAAGCATAGTCCTGTTCTATGTGTATTACTTGTTAAACCACTTGAGCTTTGAAAATCCTATATATCCAAAATTCTACAGCAGTTTTGAAAATATATGCTTTTTATTTCAAACGTTTTCAGCTCTCATAACCATGATGCTTCTAAACACATGAAGCCCATTTTTGCCAGGAACTTCTCTCTATTAAACTAAGTATCATATAATGCTATGGACAAAGAATGTGGTTTGGGAAAATATCTCTGCCTCTCTCCTGAATGATTGTAATATAATGAAGTTTAACAACTCCATACAGCACAGGGAAATCACAAACCATCATTACACATAGCTTTTCCCAAAGTTTTCAGTATGACAACCAATTGCACCAAAGTACCCTTCAGTTACATCTCTGATGCCTGCCACATCCCCAGACGATAACCTGGGGCAAAAAAAAAAAAAGCCAAAATTTGATATTTTAGAGTTCTCACTTCATAAGATTTTAGACATTGTTTAAACAGAAAAAAAAATCTGCACCAATCCCTAAGCTATTCAATATCCTAGAAAGGCTTCCAATGAAATTTTTAAGTTTCAGATAGGCTCATGTGGTAGAATATAGTTCTTCTGATAATAACACTCCAAAGGCTTGATAGCCAGATAACTTTGAATTACACCTGGAAACAAACTAGCAGTGAGAGATGTTTATAATCATTTCCCTTTAGTAACCCTTCAGGATCCTTTGAACCAACTGATAAGTTTGAGAAGACTTTGACAGGAGACACTGCAAATAATCCAGTATCTGAAGATTACCTCTGCCCAGAACAGGTTGTTAAAAAGTATGACACTAATTAGCAAGAGGGACAGCATTAACATTTACATAACAATTACCTTTGCATTGGGCCTGAAAATAATTGAAGAATTTTCATCATACTCCAGGCTGTTAACAGAAGAAAATTAGGTATTAGGTAATAAACATGCATACTTTTCTCTAGCATCTTCTGTCACTAGCCAGTCTTGCAATAGGACCTTCTTCCAACCTATGCATTTAGGATTAGGTTGACAATTACAGCGGTACCTCAGGTCACGAACGCTTCTGTTCACGAACAATTCGGGTCACGAACAGCACCATTCGCAAAATTTTGCTTCCGTTCGCGAACGCTGGATCGGGTGACGAACAGGATCCGTGGCCATTTTCCCTGCCATGACATGTGGTCGGGGCTTCC